AAAAAAAATTTCGCTAGAAGATGGAACAGAGCTTTCTTTAACTCAATTTAATTCAAATAATTATATTGAAGTTTTCGGCTCTTGTTTTGAAACATGAGACATCTTATGTCGCGAGTTGGAATCATATTTTTAAATAAATAATTATATTTATGCTCTACATTCGTATCGAGCACTATTTTTAAAAAATAATAACTAAAATACTAAGGAACTTTGGATCTACCTAACCAGTTCTTTCCTATTTTCTATATATTTTCACACACACACACACACACACACACATATATATATATATATATATATATATATATAAATTTTAAAACATTACTCACTCACTTTTGTTTATTGGACATTGAATTCTATTAAAGTAGTGTCCCCAGTAACTTGCCTGACATTTCAGCTAACCTGATAAGTATTTATGAGCGTTCCTAAGCTAAAAACATTTTTGCTCTTGTTACAAAATAAAATCCTTGCATTCGCCTTGATAAAGTCCCTCAGAAGACGAAAGACGTTTGTCTCAATAAATACGTACATACGCTCTCATACACACACACACACACATGCACATACACACACACATAATATAAAAGGCTCAAACACTAATATTCCATGGTTATAATTTATTACACTGGAATCGTAATCATGATCCAATTCATCAGATCTACAAATTTAAAAAAAAAAAAAAAAAATTGAATTTGTAGGTTTGATGAATTGGATCGTGATTACGATTCCAATGTAATAAATTATAACCATGGAATATTAGTGTTTGGGTCTTTTATATTATATACTTACTCTCTCCTGGACATTGAGTTCTACCTGGATTCTATCCTCTTGGAAATTTATATATATATATATACACAATAAAAAGAGGTAATACACCGTATTGTTATATTAAGCGTATGGTAGCGAGAGAAAGGAATAACGAGGACTAGAGTGAAACAACGTTTATTGTGGTATATACTATAGGAATATGGTCAGGTGTACGCGTAATGTCGGGATTGGACCATTTCTTATGCCGACATGGCCGAGGTTACAAGTGCGTGTTTGCTTGATTGATGTCACGGTTGTAGGTCGTCTTGTCGTTGGTAGATCTATTGTATGGAACGGATGTCGCTGTGGTCGACTGCGAAGAGAGTGCCTTGTAAACGAGTCGAGGTATGCTGTGGAACGGAGGTAGCTGCGAGAGACTTCGACGAGAGAGCCCTGTAGCGAGTTGAGGTAGAGCTGTTTGTGGAACGGAGGTAGTTGCGTCGAATTTGAAGAGAGTGCCTTCTAAATGAGTTGAGATAGAGCAGTTTGTGGAACGGAGATAGCTGCATCGACTTCTAAGGGAGTGACTTGTAAGCGAGTCGAGATAGAGCTTTCTTCGGAACGGAGGTAGCTACGTCGACTGCGTGACGGCTGGAAGCCGCGCCGGCCACAATTGTCCCTTGTTCGTCCTTAGAGCATGCTTTTAAGCAGTTCTGGCAGTCCCAAGGGGTGTTTCTTTAACTGGCGTGAACGTTCGCGATTGGCCACCGCCGGAGTTCACTTTGTAGACCGAATGTGGTGTGCGAAGCCCAATGCGTAAAAAACGACTTTTCTTATTTCGTCTTCTGCCCTCGAGGCGTTAATATCCGGCCAGTGTAAACAATGGATCAGAATGAGATCTAAATACGACGGAGTATAACAGTATGTTACCGCACACCACTGTGGTTTCAATCGCTAGGTCTCTTCAGGTCACTGAATAAACCCGCTACCTGAAGAGACTTAGCGATTCAAACTCCAGGTACAAAATGTGAACCTTAAATAATGTGGTTTATGGCAAGTTGTTAGCACGGGAGATTTTTGACGGTAGGTTAACCCCTGCCTCATCGCTTTTTTCCGATGATGCTGAATAACAACACAACTGGATGTGTGTCTCAACAAACCGTTTAAATATCGCATTCGAGAGCAGTGGAAAACGAGGGGATGGTTAGCGGGAAAAAGTCATTCAGGCTACCGTAATAGCCTACCAAAAACACAGCTACTACAAATGAGATATTGTAGGTTGTGTTAGTTAACTGACAATATATCCCCAGCGTTCTTTCATTAGAATTTGAGAAATTATATGCTTACTGAATTTACTTAATAAATTCAATGCAATATGTAGAATAACAATAATAAACAGCACTTACCGGCGTAAGAGTCCCAGCTAGCGTCCAGCTGGCAGACAAAAATAAAGCAGGTTGTAACTTAATACAAACCCTGCAAACTAACTGAGAAATCTTGCTAGTATTTATATAGAAATACTTCCACTCAGGTACCAGCAGCCAATCACAGCCCAAGCAATGGACTATTCCACTTTAGCATAATGAGATGCTCCATTGCACCATAAATAGCTCCCTTTCTCAATGTTGAATTAGTATTCACTCAGCTTGCTCCACAACTGAGTGTTTATCTTGACCACGTGATTGTTCGACACAATACATTTTAAGAAGTGGAAAGACTACAGTAGGAAGACGATACTGAATCCATTGCTAGGTCTGCTTCTAAGATAACTGGCTTACTGTGTCGTGCTAGACAATTTGTCTTTCCAGAATCAATCTTGCATATCTATAAGTAGTTTATGCTTAAAATACTGCTGCTGCATATAGTTCGGTGTTCCTGCTGTATATTTAGAGATTCTTGATAAAATCCAAAGAAGAACCAGCAATATTATTATCCCCAGACGAGGCTATGTCGAAGGGTTGAGTCTCGTCTCAGAAAACAGCTACCCGACTTCGTTTTATACGGGGTCTACGTAAAATTTTTGGCCGAGCCTACGGGCTAGAATTCCTCACATTAAATTCAGCCTTGTGTCACGTCTGACCGCGTGGGGCGGTTGGTAGATATCCTACAGTTGGAGATTCGTCTCCAGCTGTGTTGATCAAACTCTCTGCCTCCAGGCAGAGAGGATCCCCAGATGAGGCAATATCGAAGGGCAGAGTATCGTCTCGGGCAACAGCTACCCGACCTCGTTTTATACGGGGTCTAAGTGGAATTTTTGGTCGAGCTTACGGGATCGGAATCCCCACATTAAATTATGCGTTGTTCCACATCAGACCGCGTCGGGCGGTTGGTAGATATACTGTAGTTGGAGATTCATTGTGGAATTCACTTGATTCACTTCTAGCAGTTAACTACTTCTACGCGCCGCTGGCGAATCTTATATGTGTTGTTCGTGTCCCAAGTATTATCGTTCATTACCAATCTTCGTTTGATTATTCTATTTAGTAACCTTCCCTAGGTTACAACATTTTGGCGACGAGGGTGAGATCAAAATTACAACAATGTTCTTATCCATATGATAACATTTGGTGTCTAAAAGAACTAGTGACACATCCATCACAGTATCACAGTAAGTAAAACGCTTTGTTGATATAGTTTTGGATTAATCTGTCACAAAGTCATAACTGTGGAGCATTCAATGAAGATCGAACTCGCTTTTTAGTAGTAATGACGAGATAAGCTCCCCATTTCTCCACAACAGAATGCTCAAAGTGACGCTTATTCTATTATATCTGGCCTGGAGCTGCCCAATCCACACTTCCCAGTATAGATAGAGTTAAAAAGTTTTATAGGAGATAGCTTTCCACTTTACAGCCTCTTTCCCCACGGACGCAATGTTGCAAGCCTATCGCTATTTCCATGGCAAATGCTCAGGTGAACTTGACTCTTTAGTCTCTAACCTTTACAGCTAGAAGTCGCCTTGCAACGTTCACGAAGTCGAATCACCCTCATTCTCTCTATATTCCATTTGTGAAGAAGAAGTTCTACTCAGAAAGCTTTTTTACCCTGAGAACTGCCACTTTGTGGGACAAACTTCCACGTGGATGCTTCTCTGGCTACTACAATTTGAACCTCTTGAAGTCAAGAGCCAATCATTATCTACCCTTCTTATCCTCATAATCCTCAATTATTTCTACCGCTTCTTATGTTCATATCACACACTTCATTTAGTAAGCTTCTGCCATGAGAGGCTCTTAAGCCTTGTATTGGATGAAATTTATTTTAAAAAAAACAGAGAAAAACGGCATATCATATAGAAATTTTTGTGAGCATAATACCGTTACAATACTCTAATTTCGGATCCAGTCATGCCATTGATTCTCAAGTCATTTCTTATTTAGTATAAACTGACATAAATTTATATCCAAGAGAGATAACTACGGTTTTTTTAACTGCTAATTGCAGAGTCTTTTCCGCGATATTTATTAATACGAGAATCTTTGACCTCTTTACAATCTCTTCCGCCAGCTATAATAGCATATCTGTAAAAATTCTTTGACAATAATTATTAATTGGAATTTCAATTTAGATGGTTATAAGAATGGAACAGATATTTACAGTTTACCTTTTTTAAAATGTGGAAATGTGTTTTTTTAATATCGTCATATATTTAAGCAGATATTTAGGTGAACGTATAAGCGTTTCCATATCGACGATTTACTCTTTTGAAAGGTTTTAACAATATAAAAATAGATAGAAGAGACATGCTCTTTGCACGTCCTCTCTTTGTCTTTTCTTTTCACAGTCTTTTTCTTTCTTTCTTTCTTTCTTTCTTTCTTTCTTTCTTTACCTTGCATGAATGTTTTTCATTTATCTCTGTTTTTTCTTTTGTTTTTTTTGACTGTTATTTACTTTCTCTCTTTTATTTATTCTTTACTGCTATTGAAACCGTTTACGTCAACCTCTACATGCAAGCATTGATAAGCTCTCTTTCTTTCTTTCTTTCTTTCTTTCTTTCTTTCTTTCTTTCTTTCTTTCTTTACCGAATTGTTGTTTTCATTCATATCTAAAAGACGATGAATATCCAATCTGCGAGCGAAATGCAGGCGATGTCTGATGACGTCACAGGGAGGTTGGACAATGTGACTAACCCAGATATTCTCTGAAGAAGCTTCGCAAGTGGTTGGCACTGAATATAACTGCATCGCCGTATTTTCATGCCATGTCGACTAACAACGGACAACAAGTGGAATTCCCGTAGTTTTTCAACTTACCTGCTGTCATCATGGCCATTGGCAGTGCGGTGCTGACAGCTAGCAACAGCGTGTAGAACCCTGAAGAATTGAGAAGAAAGATGGTCAGAAGAAAGAGAGAAAGAATGAAATGCAAATTAAAAAAAGGAAGGAAAAAGAAAGGAAGAAAGAAAGAAAAGAGAAATAAAGAGAAAGCGAAAAGAAAAAAAAGAAATCTTGCTTAACTGAATTCTTTAGGTGCCATCTGTACACGCAGACTCACGCATGCGCATTGTAGTTTCTTTAAAAATGATGTTTCCAGGCAATGTGTATGACTTCACACTCATATTTACGGTAAATGTCAGTTTTCAACGCTTTGGTGATTAATTAAACTTTGACTTCATATGAATACTTAGCTACAGATCAATAATCACGTGTATTTATCCACAAAAAATTCTTTCTTTCTTTCTTTTTTTCTTTCCAAATGTGAACTTCATCATAGAATAATTTTCAAGTCTTCCAAAAACAGGATGTAATTTGAAATTCTGAGTATAGACATGATAAATGAGAATTTAATTTGATTATATATATATATATATATATTTGTGTGTGTGTTTGTAAAGAGAGAGTGAGGGGAGGGAGAAAGTAAGAGAGTGAGAATGTGATATACATGGAGGAAGAGTGACAACGCAAGATAAATTGTGACGGAAAGAAAAAGAAAGAGAAAGAGAGGGAAAGAGTAAACGAGAGAAACACGGTGGAAGAAAGAAAACGCAAAATAAATTGTGGCAGGAGGAAAAAAAGAAAGTCAGAGGAAGAGAAAAAGAGATAAAGAGAGAGAAGGTGGAAGAAAGAGAGAGATGATGGAAGAGAGAGAGAGAGAGAGAGAGAGAGAGAGAGAGTGAGAGAGAGAGAGTGTGTGAAAATTGTCTGTGATTAGACTCACGTGTGCTGGTCAATATGTGAAGGGAGCGGCACAAGAAATCCCACGAACTCTCGGCTTCTTTCGTCGCCTCTTTTATTTGGACAAAAACGGCCTCGTAATTTGATTGGACACTGACTCTCGATGCCGTCCAATCAACTGTGGTTTTATAGAGCGTTGTATCATCATTGTAAGACTGGAAAACAAAAGCAAATAAAAAAGCAAAAACAAAAAACAAACGACAAAAAAGCAGACAAGAGAATAATATCATTTAGCAAAGGAAAGATTTTTAAAAAAAATCTCTTGCTTCCAAAATATCACAAGCAATTACGTTCGATTCCGATAGCAGCAGATAAGGAAGCAGTGCCATAAATAAGATGGGATTTTTTTTTGTCACTCTTATTTGAATATAAACTTCACCATCTTAAGTATCATTCTAAAGTTCAAAATTTCAAATTAGTACGAGAAATAAACAAAGCAAAGAAAAAAAACCCCTAAAAAACAGAAAAAAGAAAAGGAAAAAATTAAGTTATACTGAAAGAAAGCATATAAGGTATTTCGGAAATATATTTTTTACATATTTAAAATGAATCAAATTAATTCTTTGATAAATTAGTTTTTTTACGCCTTGTCAACCATTTCACATGAATTCTGATCCTTAACACAAACACGTCCTGGGTATGATGATAAACTACGTCCAGCAGCAATCGGAAAGTTTTGAGGAGTGCGGAACCACCTCTTAATTGCTGTTGTTCCAAGGTCTACCCTGAACTGGGTCGGGGGTAGTACCTGTTAGCGTCCCAGCTATCGGCGGATTCTTAATCCCTAAACTGGGGTCAAAACTCTATGAAAGTATAAAAACTTTTATTTTAAAAATACCAGCAATACATTTTCATATTAAAAAAATACCAGCAATACATTTTCATATTAAAAAAATACCAGCAATACATTTTCATATTAAAAAAATACCAGCAATACACTTTTGTAAAAGAAATTACTAATGTTCCCAAAAAGATTAAATTTCGGCATTAAATGACCCATAAGGTGTTGATATGCCACTAAACAAAAAAAAAAAAACAAAAAAAAAAAAAACTTTACACAAACGAACATACTGTCAGTAGTATTTTTTTTAAAGCAGATGACAAATAAAGAAAATCACAATTTTATTTGTATGGTAGGCAGCTCTGATATAATTGCGTAACTCGTATCAAATAATACCGTTCTGTTTGATGTTTGTTATTACTATTAGCTACCGATAGTAAGACTTATTTGGGTGACTTTAAAATTTGTCTTGGAAAGACAAAGCTATCAGTTTTGTTTTTAATCATTTCGCCCAAAGCAAGACAAATCCAGGAGGATGAAAAGGGATAGTAAGAGGCAAAGAAACAGAGAGAAAAGTAAAATGCCAGGATTAATGGAGATAGAAGATGAACGATTGACATTGAATTTAAAGTTTTAAAGGTCTTTAATGACAGGAAAGCAGTAAGCCGCAATTTAGTTGCACAGGCGAAAAGTGAGGAAGAAGAAACTATTAGCATAGAACTTACGGTTACAACTAGCAATTTCACCAGGAACTTTATGAGACCGACCTGTCAATGTACTGCGCTTAAATTAGTGGAGTCGACATACCAACGAGGAAAGCTAATCAGAACAATTACCATGAAAATAGTTAGAAAAAAAATGGACATGTACGTTGCATTATGACTGTAGGAAAGTGACTGAAGTCGAGATGCCAAGGTAACTTTGTCGATTCTTCTTTGGATTTTGTCAAGAATCTCTAGATACATAGCAGAATCGCCAGACAGGTAGCAATATTCGATGTACAAAAGAATGGTAGACTTATCAATATACACAACATAGTAAATCGACTTTCCTAACAGTAGACTTTGCAGTTGATCCAATATAATTATAACGGGAGAGAGTCATGGAAGAAAGATTTATTCCCCCATTTACGTTTCCCCCATTATGGGCACTATTATATTTGTAATATAATAACACCATGGAAGAAAGATTTATTCCCCCATTTACGTTTCCCCCATTATGGGCACTATTATATTTGTAATATAATAACACCATGGAAGAAAGATTTATTCCCCCATTTACGTTTCCCCCATTATGGGCACTATTATATTTGTAATATAATAACACCATGGAAGAAAGATTTATTCCCCCATTTACGTTTCCCCCATTATGGGCACTATTATATCTGTAATATAATAACACGATACCTCACGGAGGGAAGGGAATTGCTGAATGGAAAAGTAACGACAGACATGCTTTGTTCCCAGAGAGAGTTTCATAATGCTACGTCGTACACAAAATTATATATGCATACGTACATGAGTCTCACGCAGATAAATTATAGCATATATGCAATAACAGTGTGTAAAGGAAGGAAAACTGGAGTTACTACGATTTCTCTATGACCCTCGTGACTATCACAACGAAAGGAAGACAATCGTCTTTTATATCCCTACATAATCATTCCATTTCATGTCATTGGAAAATGTGAGATCAAGAAGGTGCATTCAGTTGGTCTCCTGGAGGTTAGCATCAGCCATACTGATGGAAGGTTAAAAAACTGTTCTTTAAGATGCTTAATAGAGAGCAATAAACTAAGTTCCAAACCACTCAGTAAAAATATTGCATTCTAATGTCTACTTGTGTAATGAGCTGGATGCGAATTTGATTTCTTTTTTTTTACGTCTTATCAACCCTTTGTGAATTATTTAAAGCCGAAACATATGTAGGATTATAGGAGTTTGCTTACAATACTCTGAGTTCCAAGGCTTTCCAGTATTGATGGGAGTTTCCTTCCTAACCTTTTATTTGAAGTAGCGTGGAACGTCAACATCATGATTAGGTCATTCCTGTTATTTGGCACAGTTCTTTTTTTTAACTTTTTCCGATTTTGTACAAACAATCAACACGGTTCGCAGAAGTGTAGTCTTCACCAAAACTCATAGGCTTCACTTGTTCAAAGCCGTCCTGGGCAAGACAATAAACTACATCCGTGTCCTGGGTAAGACGATAAACTATGTCCAACAGAAAGGCCTCTGATCAGGAGGTTTTTAAGAGCTTAATTGCTGGTGTTCCCAGGTCCACCCTGACCCGGGGTAGTAGTACCTGTTAGGGTCCCAGTTATGGGCAAATAGTTAACCCCCAAACTGGGGTCAAAACACTATGAAAAGGATAAGAATAGGTTTTAGTACCAGGAATACATTTTTGTAAAAGATTATTACCAGCAATAAATTTTTGAAGAAAATATTACTACTAGCAATATATTTTTGGAAAAAAAAATATTACCAGCAATAAAAAACCTATTGAGGTTGAAATGCCGTAAACCAAACCAAACCAAACCAAACCAAACCAAACCAAACCAAACTTGTTCAAAGCGATTTTGAACCATTGATCCTAAAAAGTGGCTGTATGTTTCGCCATTTCTGAACAAGTTTGGCATGTTTAAAAGTACATGTAATAGTAAAAAGAAATCTTTATCACTGATAATAAAGTATGTGTAACAATGAATATACTTTGTCATTATAAGTTTTGGGCTTATCGTGACCTTTTGAATGAGAGCTGGATATATCAGAGGGCAATGTTGCACACACAAAAAAAGTTTGTTTACATTGCGCAGATCAGTACGAAAATTTCAGTGATTGCGCAGGTTAGTGTTGCCAACATTGTGTGAATTGATTGGATGGTTTTTGAAATATTAGAAATATTGAAATATTTTTTATATTATATTGCTTTTGTATGGAAATCATTTTACAATACTTATATAAAAACAGGCAGAATCCTCGTGTATTGCTACTACTCCTTAAAAATTCATAGGAGCTTTTGACGAAAGTCGGGAGAATGATGTGCGACTGTGTTTTTTTTTTTTTTTTTTTTTTTTTAAATTCGTTTCTACAGAAAACATGTTGGCATAAGTGATTTTTATAACAGCGTCACAGGATGTAATTTGATTTTTTTAACGGCATATCAACTCTTTAACCATCAATGGAAAACGCTTAAATAGATTCTAAACATTATAAATCCTCTCCAGAGTTTGGAAATAGGAAATAGTGTTTGCAAGATTTATTTACTTGGTTGATTTTGTTTAGTGGCATATCAACCTCTCTACCAACCTATAATGTCAAAATCTTGATATTTTGAGCATAGATTTATGACTTCAACTAAATATATTTTCAATCTAATTGTATGCCTTTAACTATAGATAAAATGTATTGTTGGTCATTTTGCTATAAAATGTATTGTTGTTAATTTTACTATAAAATGGTATTGCTAGTTATTATTGTAGGTAATTTTTTTTATATAAAAATATATTCCTGGTAATTTTACTAAAAAAAGTTTATTTTTTATATCTTCATAGTGTTTTGTTTTTGTTTGAGGGGTTCACTATTTATCCATAGCTGGGACCCTAAGAGGTGCTACCAACTCTGGCCAGGGTGGACCTGGGAATAACAGAAATTAAGAGGTGGTTCCAGGCTCCCGATCGTAGGCCTTGTTCCCGTATGTAGCTTAACGTTATATCGACGACTGCGGTAAAAGAGGTCAGTTTCTTAGTCACCATGCACAAGAATGTAAGGTCCACGTTTAGCGCAACACACGCACACACACACACTGACACATTGTCCGACAGTAACTGACGAAGTCAGAAGTTATAGAAAATATAATGTTAGATACGAGAGAATCAAGCCTCAGGCTTTAATTTTGTTAACAGAAGCTTACTACATTAGTACATGTCGTGGTAGGATCCACCTAATTTGCATAGTGGAGTACCGACAATATAAATATGGTTGGTACCGGGAAGAGAGGGAGGAATCAAGAGATTCAACCAGAGACTCTGCCCGACTGCGACTAAGTCAACACATTCTCCAGGAACGGTCTTCCCAGGAATATACAAAAGACTATATGTAAATATTGTGTACACTTTCTTGTTTCAATACATTTTGTTCTAAGTACATTTTGTGTTGCATTATTATTCCATGCATTAGTCAAGTTTCAACAGTACATGAGTACATTAGATGTATCTTAATGAAACAGAAACAATTCGGAAGTATAAATAGTACATAAACTCCCACAGACTATTAATAAAATGCGGACGCGTAAAATAAAGCCATAAAGATTAAAGAAAACCAAGATTCAAAGGGAAAAAACAATGACATTAACCAGCCACAGAAAAAATGTCGGTTTTACTTCCGGCGCAAGTCTTAATCCATCATCTACAGGAAGTTTATAACTTCAATGTCTACCCGTCATTGAGTGCACTTTCATAGAATCATAAGGTTTTCTCCGCCATATCTTCTTTTAAATCGGAATCAGACGAAGCAATATAATTCGAAACGGTGTTCTCTGAATAACAAG